TATCCACCATCCATCTTTTACCCATCGCAACCCACGCCTTCTAGCCTCCTTCTTCCTCGCTCGCCTTTTCCTTGTGCAAGGCTTACACCAACAATATGATTCCTTAACCTTTGCCTTGCGTTTTCTTCGTGCTCGTTTGGCCTTGCGCTTCATCGGCTTTAGCTTAGCCCGTGGATCACACTCTTTCGGCCAGTCCCTTTTGCATGATGATCGATATATTGGACTTACCGGCTCGTCCAACATGTTTTCCAGCCACATGTCGAGACCACCGTCCTCTTCCTCGTCGGACTCGCCGGGGTTGATGACCACTTCCGTATCATTCCCCTCCTCTTCAAGACTTTCCTTGTCCTCAAGGATTAGAAAATTAAGCGCACCATCATCTTCACGGTTTTGAACTTCACCCTCCATTGCTCCTCGACCTTCTACGAGTTGTCGCTCGTATTCTTCTCGATTTTTTTCGTTCATGGAGCTCGTCTAGATACGTGCTCTCCCATGGGGTAAGTTCTCTCTCCAAACCCTCCAATAACTCGAGATCTTCCCAATCCATCTGTCCATTGGCACATAAGACATAATTTTTTTTTTTTTGACTTTATAAAAAATTCGATAAAGTCGAACAAGAAAGAAAAATTAAAACAAAAGAAATTCGGCCCCTTCAACAAAAGGTAATAACCGAAAAAAATAAAGAAAATGACTAGATGACACTTTTTTTTTTTTGACTCACGAAATTTCGAAAAATTTCGAACACAAAGACTGAAAAAAATCGAACCAAAAAAGAAAAAGAATAAGATAGAAAAAGTTCACGAACACCCAATCAATCACTCTCAATGAAAGCACCAATGATGAAGGATCGGGTGTTGCGTTCCCTCGACTTGTCTTGATCACGGCTTCGCCACGGCCTTGCTCTCGACGATAGGTGTGATCGACTCGGTTATAAGCCTAACTCTCTCACGAAACTTGAGTTCACTCGGGTATTAGCCTCGCTACACTCTTCGAATAGATCGGGTCTTAGCCTTTCTAATTCGTTGAACTGGCTTGGGTCTTAGCCTCACCAATTCGGTTGCATGATCGAATTCTCACGAACCCTAACACACGGTTTTGAACCAACGTTCTTTTTTATTTCATCAAATCCAAGTCCCCTTAAAATAGTGAGGGATGCTCCCTATTTATAGATCCTAACTATGACTAATTCTAATCTACCTAGG